GAGGATTTGGAGTCTGTTTTTGAAAATGGTAAGGTGGCAGGGGCAGGAGTGTATTAGTAACTGCTGTAGCCTTCACTTTAGGAAGACTGGAGCCACATTTGATTCTATGGGAGCAACATTGTGGACCATGGGAGCTCTGTATAGAGTGACCTGGGAAAGCTCAGAAGAGCAGAGAGATTGTTCCAAATCAGAATGGAAAGATATTCCTACTTTAGAAAAAAGGATAAAGGAAGGGTCTGAAGGTCTTAGTCTCCTTAACAAAGGGCAGGCATTAAGACACCAGAGTTGGAAAGGGTACATGTCCGTAGCAGCTGAACATGAGTTCCTTCTTTCCAATGCCCAGGGGAGACTCAGCCTCACATCCACCCCCTCCAGCAATGTTGCATTGCCTCCTGGGAGAAGCCTAAGTAAACATCTGGTCCTGAATGCCCCCTTGTTATGGCCCAGGCTTGGGAAGGGCTAGGCCCTCTTCTATTTTTCAAAGCCTCTCATTATATATACATATATGCAAAACGGTGTTATTAAAATAGTTTTTAAATGTTTACATTAACAAAATAATATTTTAACATAGAAATAGGATTGTTCTATTCACAAGGTAATAGTATGATTTATAAGCTGATTATAATCCAGAGCTCCCTAGAATTAATATGATACAGCCGGTATTTCCCTGGGATTGCAGAAGCTAGATCAGCAAGTGCATCCTGAGGAGTTTTTGAGGCCCACCCACTGTAAGGTACCTGACTGTGTAACCTGCATCACATGGCCTTCCTGACTCCTCTGTGATAGTCACTGCCATGGGGAAAGGAAGTTCGACTGTTTCCAGGTGACACTCCCATAGGCCAACTTGCAACCCCTCCCCTTTGTGCCCTTTCTATGTAATAAGTCTTTCAGATCAACATTAGACTTCAAAAGTCAAAAGATTCTCCCTTGCTCCCCAAACAAGAAGAATTGGGATTAAAAAAAAATTATGAGAGACCCTAATGCCTGACTATTTGTATGCATATTATCTCATGGCTCTCACAGCTGCCCTGCGATGGTGTAAGTAATAGTTGCCCAATTTGTATATCAGTTATTTGACCAAGGTCACAGGGAAGATCCAGGATTAGAAGCCAGAGCCTTTGACTGCAATGCCTGAACTCTTTCCTCGTCTTTGAGTAAAAACAAATCATGGAGCCACACATAGCCCCAGAGGAGCCCAGTGAGGCTGGAGAGGGGTCGGGGACAGCCACACCCCTCTGTGCCCACGAGTTGTTGGGCACACTTTCACCTTTCTGGATCTTTTCACTGTTTCCTTCTCTTCCTGTGTCTTCTCCTGGCTGGCTTGCCCTTAGTCTGCTCCCTGCTTATGATACTTATTTTTCCATTCACAGCAAAACAATTCACATCAAGGTAATTGATGATGAGGCGTATGAGAAACACAAGAATTACTTCATTGAGATGATGGGCCCCCGCATGGTGGATATGAGTTTTCAGAAAGGTGTAGTACCCTGTCCTCCACACTAACATTAACCTTCTGTTTCTTTCTTTCTCCCATCTATTTGTCTCTGGTTCTTCCTCTTTTCTCCCATCTCTCTGGTTTCCTTCCCCTTGTTTCCGCTCTTATTTATTTATCTTTTTGTTCTTTTTCTCTCTTTTCATCCTTCCATTTCCTCTCTCTGCTCCCTGATCTGTCCTAACACCCGCCAACCTGTCACATGGTACCAATAAGAGGGATGCATAGAGCCAATGGTAAATTCTATGGGATGAAGACATCGTTATAGAAGGAGAGAGAAAGAGAGACAGAGAGGCCAGTCAGAGCCCCGAGAGTATTGCATCTGAGGCTCCCTGCTTCTCCTGAGTGGCTTAGTATTCAGGAAAGAAAAAGACCGCATAGCACAGAAACAGGCAGGAGGGCAGTACTGGGAAACTGACCCCAGCTCTCAGCACAGATTTCCAGAGGCAGTTATTCTCAGGGCTAAACTCATAGTTCCTGAAAGTTGAGAATCATTGTATTTGAATTTTGGTACTTTCTATTTGTGCTTCATCCCACTCCCCAAAACAGAGTTTAGGAGATATCTCATGTACCACATCCCTGCTAGCAGGGCACAACTCTCTGCTGAACATTTATGGAGTTGGAAATACAGGTTTGAGTCCCAGGTCTGGTCAAAGACTTACCTGCCTTGCCCCCACTTTTGCCATTAAAAATGGTATCTAGATGTGGAGGCAGAGAGTAAGACTAGTGGGAAAGAGGAGTCTGACTTGGGCAGAGGCGTCCCCATGATGTCCACAGGACTTCTCAGAGTAGACAGAGCTTTCGCCTTCAACTAAATGACAAGTCAGAGAACTCCCCTCCAGGAGAGGCCATACTGTGAGAGGGGCAGTGTTCTTCCCTGGCCTACCCATCATTCGTGCTCCTTCAGGCCATTACCATGGTCGTGGGCACCCCATTCCCATTCCATTGTCTTTGCAGCAGGAAAATAAGCCAGGTTCACATCTCCTACTTAGTCCCAGAATCCCATATCCAGGGTCTGGAGAGAAAAATCCTGGTCAATGCTTCTTGACAGTCAGTGGGCTTTGTCTTTTATTCACTGACTAAAGCATGGAAAGATGACACAGAAAGGAAGGGAGGCCAAAAAATAACCAAAAATGTAGACGTAAAATGCACACATACCACATGCACACACATGTGCAAACCATGTACATAACAAGTCCTGTGCCCAGTAACCATCTTGACTCAGTCTACCACTTTACAGAGAGCAAAGCCAAGCACACTTTTGGAAGGTAAGAGGAAGATCATAGGATCTGAGCAGGCATTTAAGCTATCACTTCTGCTTCTTTGCCCCTTAGAGAGCAATTAGGGCACAGGCCAAAAAAGCATTCCTAAAATAGCGATCACAGCTCTCTAGTGGGACTTGCTGACCACCATTGTGTTCTGTGAAGTATCAGGAGAAGTCACACAGGGAGAGTCAGGCTTGGATAGCAGCTTCTCCCCATGGCGATGACCTGAGCCAGCTACGTGCCAGTCTTTGAAGAGAAGTGATTTTCAAGGAAACTTTCCTTGCCTGCATGATTTGGTTTTAAAAGACACTACGCTTTGTGAAGGCACCAATTGATAAGCAGAAACTTTCTCACCTTGTCCCTTAGACCCATAATAAATCAGCATTGAAGGAAGCCAGCCTTGGTACACAATGCCCCTATTTGATAAAACTCAAAAAGAGATTTTGAATTTGATACATGATTTGCTTCACATTTTTCCAGGGGTGCATCAGCTGCAAATATTAAAGGACACCTACATCGTATTGACAAATAATGCATATTTATTTTAGTTCCCACCACTGATGCCATAGGAGATAAAAGCAGACAGAGATAATAGAATTCTGCCTCTCTTTCTCTCTCTCTTTCTGGTTTCCCTTCTTCATAAATGCTTTTCTTTTAAAATTTTCTTTATTAGACTCATGTGAGGAGGGGATAGGGACAAAAGGAAGGGAAACAGACCCTGGGTCCTGTTGACCATATTTTCTGCTGTGGAAGTATCCTGGATCCTTCCAAGTTGACCAGTAGTTTACCCATTGCCCAAAGAAATGCCACTGCTACCATGTGACACCCAATGGAATGTGCTGCCCGACTCATTTCTTACTAACCATCAGCAGGATCTAAAAGGACTCCTCCCCACCATTGCCCACCCCCTTCTTCCTTCCTGCCCATTCCCTTCCTGTTCTCCCGGCTCCCTCCCTTTGCCCACCTTTCTTTGCCTCCTGGCTCCCTTTCCCTCTCATAAGAACAACTATGACCAAGGAGACAAGAAAAGTCAAGACCTTTTTTTTTTTTTTTTTTTTTAATGTAACAAGACAATCCACCATAGTCCTGTCGAAAGCCACTGTGGCAGGACAGGGATGCATGGGCCAAGAGTGACGGGGAATGGTTTTAAAGGCTGTGCTTCAGGTGACCAACCAACCGACCTACCCAGTCGACACACTCTCTCTCTTGTTGTCCCTACAGGAAAACCATAAGGGTTAAAATAGTAGATGAGGAGGAATACGAAAGGCAAGAGAATTTCTTCATTGCCCTTGGTGAACCGAAATGGATGGAACGTGGAATATCAGGTGTGAGATTCTTAAAAAAAAAAAAAAAAAAAAGCATAATAAGAAGACAGAAAAAAATTTAAGCAAACTGAAAACAGCAAGAAAAGAAAAAAGCAACTATATTTTTTATGCCCCCTTTTTCTTCCCTTCTCCTTTCTCCTTTTGACCAATGGATTTTTTTTATTATTATTATTATTTTCCCTCCTGTATTCTCGCTCTCAGCCTGTTTCGGTATCATCTCTGCCTTCTCAGCCTTAGCTTATTTTTCAGCCCTCCTTCCCCACCTCTGGGCAGCACTGCAGCCTCAACTCCTCATTACCCTAAACAGTTACTTCCTGTGTTTTGCTCCAATTATCCAGTCACCACTGTCCCCTGCACTCCCCCAACACATACTGTAACCTGTGAATCTGAAAACTCCTGGTGGGTGGGGAGGAGAAGGAAAAGAGAGGAACCTGCTGCGATGCATGTCTGTGCACCTCCCCTGCCTTTCCCTCCCAGCCCTTCACTCTCTAGCCTGGGTTGAATGTGGGTGGGTCTGGGCTGGGGGTTGGAGCACATGTTGCAATGATGCTTCCACAGTTTCTGCTGCATTCCCAGCCTTCACTGGCAGAGTGGCTCATTGGCCTCTCTGTCCTTTGTAGAGGTAAGTGTATTATCTGGTTCTTTCACAGTTGGGTAGACCATGGCATAGGAAAGTATATCAATTGTCAGAGGCCATGGCGTGGGCTAGTTTTTAAGATTGCATTTCTAACTCATGCCATCTAGAATCCTGAGCTATTTTGCCACGTCTTGGCATTTCACCCAGTCCCATTCTACCCTTCTTTCAACCCCCGAGTAGGGTGCCTTATTCAAGCTACTTTGGACTAATGCAACCTCTAAAGCAGAATATTGAGAGATTGCAAAAGGAAGGAAGAAATTTCAGGTAAGGATATCCCCCTAGCCAGTGGGCTTTGGAAAAGGATTGACATTGTGAAGGCCCCAAGTTTTGCTTTGTGGGTTTTCCAACAGGAGAAGAGACCCTAAACAGTCTTGTTGGTGCTGATCCTTGAGAGACACAGGTGTTGGACTGCTCACTGAAGCCTGCCTGTACTTGTTGTCTGCAAGTGAGCACATCACCCAGATCCCGAGATAACCCTCATCCCACACCAGAGACATGATTTGTTTGCTTCTTTTCCTCAGCACATGCATCTTTGAAGACCTACTAGAGTTTTATCTCCAAGGGGCCAATTGTGTTGCAATCAGGATAGATGTAAGGAAGAATTTCTTCCTTTCTAGAAAATGGTTGAAAGTTACTGCTTGGGAAATGTGCAAAGAATAGGTATGGGAATAAAAGAGTGTCCTCAGGAAATACCAACAGGAGGGCACTCACACCCCGTCTTCAGGGACATATGCTACTAGGAGCCTCGTGGAAAATGGAGCAGTGAATCCCACTTCTTTGTCAACAAGGAATGATTACTCTGCAACTACTTCATGTTCACATAACAAGGAGCAGCAGAAAGCCTTTTTCTCAAGGGTATCACTAAGAGATTCGGCAATTACACTTCCAGAGTCTCACCTACAGATTTTCTGCTCTGTCCCAGATGATTGGTCAGTTCTCATTGGCTGCTGGGAATTCTCTGCAGAGCAGATCAGTTCGGAGTCCTCACTGGTTTGGACACACCTGGGACTCTAAAGACAGAAGCCCTCTCCAACTTCCATTGCTCTTCTTCTCCATGACCACCTAATAAGATGTACCATCAACCTGACTCCCAAGGAGTTCTGGGAGAAAGAGAAGACTCCTAGTTCCATTGCTTCCCAAATTGTATTCCTGCAATCCTTTTGTTTCTGTCACCAAGAGTAGCCTTAAAAATTGTCTCAACAGCTGCCTTACCTCATTCCCACCTCCCTTGTGCATTTACTCTGCATCTTCATAATCGGTTGAATGCAACAGACACTCAAGACCGTTGTACGCCAACTTTGTCAATTTCCACAGTCCTGGGTGCTGAAGTGCAAATAAAAGCAACACAAATAATCATAGGGGGTATCTGGAAAGAAGACACTGGCTCCAGAGCAAAAGGAAAAGTAAAGGAGTCCATCTATGTCTTTATTCCACCAATAAGGAAGCTCCTCCTTTCTGCCTTCTCAACAAACCCCTATCAACAGCAAGACAGTGAGTGGCCTAAAATAAGCTGTGTGCTCTTCAGGATACCTGGGCAGAAGCAAATACCTATGACTGCTCCCACTTGAGGACACCTTTATTTTTGCATTGGATTCTTTGTCCAAGGAGGTGTCATCGAGTCCTTGGTAAAATTTAGACCTGGAGGCGCGAATGTGGTCAAGATACCAGGATGGAAGTTGCAATAGGAATTTGTCCTTTTTCTGGCTTCCTGTTCTATCATCAATGGAGCCGATTTTCAGTTTCTTTAGTTGTTCCCATATTTTGGCATTAGATCATAAGGTGAAAGGTCATAGGAGTTAATTATCTAGACTCAGAATCAAATGGAAGCCCATCCTGATTTCCAGAATCCCCTGATGTTCTCAGAGTGAGAGACAGTACAGGGGAAATTGCATTTCATTCTCACTGCTGTGTGGGAAAGCCTCAGACTTTCAGAATGGCACAGTCTCTATACAGTCAAAGTGACAATTGCATTTTAAGAAAAGAAAAAAAGAGCTGAATTTGGAATAGGAGATTCTAGACTTGGCAAACAAGACAGACTTCAGAGTTGAGGTTAAAAACTCTGGACAGCTGAGAGAGTCGGGGGAGGGGGGAAGGATGAAATAAGAAAGACAGCTGCCTTGGAGTGGAGTGAGACCTAGAGTCTAGAAGTGGACTTCTGAGAGCAACATTGAGCAGCAGAGTTAGGACTGTTGGAGCCTGAGGAGGACCATTGGAAGCCTCAGGTGGGAAAGGCAAGCTCTCTCCCTGAAGAATGAGGCCTGTGTGTTGCTCCTATTTCCACATGCACAGGCTTACCCTGACAAGCTGCCTGGATACTTCCAATTACTCATAGAGCCTCTGCTGTTTCCTGCTTGTCCCTGGAGTGTCTGAACAGGGATAAATGACTCCCACCTGACCCTGGCAATCAATACAGGGGAAAGTTCAGCTCCAGCTTCTCTCAGCAGCAACAACAGGAAAAATGTCCTCAAGGTATTGTGCCACTCAAAACCTGCATCTCACTGGTGCATCTATAACTGCCGAGTGCAAAGTCTGGATTCGTGGAGACAGTGACCAGAGCATGATGCAATTGCAGCTGAGTATAAGTCCTCTCTGCTCTAGGAATAAGCTGGGTGTTCTGAGTGTAAAGTCAGGGCAGCAGGGACCTTTGAGGAAGATCTTTCCCATGGGGCCTATTTGGGTACACTTGGAGGCCAGGAAGGCTCTTCCATGCAGACCCCTGGAAGAGCAGAATGAAGATGCCCTCTTGCTCACTATCTGTCTCAGTGAAGTGAGGAGATTCATTGATCCATTATCCTCCTCAGAAATCTAGATGGGAGATACCAGAAAAAGTCAATTCCTGTTCACTCTTGTTATATTCTGGATCCACATATGTCTTTAGTGGCTGTGTACATGAAGCTATGGGTCACAGACCTGAGTTACATTCCTAGAGAGTCTTGGAAGAAATCATTCATACAAACCCCACCTCCCTCAGCAATCTCCTCCAGTCACCACCTGGACTAGTAGTATATGGTAGCATGTTCCCAGACCTTTATCTGATAAAAGCAAAGAAATGAGGGCTGTGTAAGACACCACCAAAGTGATAATGTGGTGTGTCAAAAGAAATTTTGATTTTTTGATCTGGAAGCCCAAAAGTTTATTGGGAAGTATAAATTCATGGATTAGGGGGAAAGTGGGAGGGGAAGACAGCTTGCTCTTGGTACTTCTTAAAGTCAGCTATCCAGTGGATTTAGGGACCTTGCATTTGTCATCTCCTTTGTTTAACTTTCAGTTTCTCTGGTCCAGAATATCTGGACTCTGATTTATCCTGCCGAGTGCAAAGTCTGGATTCGTGGAGACAGTGTAACAAAATGCCATCCAGAGATGCAGCACCATGACATCTATGGAAAAGACAATTGCCAACACAGGCAGCAAAGAACAAATCTGTATTGAATACCTGCTAAGTGCAGGCACTTTGTTACACACTGGTGATACAAGAATCATATGAATTTATGGTCCCTGACCTCTAGGATCCATCTGTAAAAAGATAAACCATTAAAGGGAAAAAATCTGTAGGGCTTACCTTTATTGTAGGTCATGTTTTAAAGAAAGAAAGAAAATTTCTGTCCAACATAGTAGCTAGGAAGCCAATTGTGGCATGAAAGCCTTATGAGCACTGGACAGTTGACATGCTCTGACTGTGAGCTTAGAAATAGAAGGCATGGAACTGGGCACTCTTCCACTCTCGCACACCACCACCCAGTGCTCTGAGTTCCCATTCAAGCCCCAGGGTTATGTTCCCCACTGACAAAGTCAGCTTCTTGGTCAGGGTTGCAACTACATCGTTGTTATGGTAACTGGATTTTCACACCTTCTTACAGAATAGATGTATTAACCTGGTCTCCTAGAAGATCATAAATGCTCTACTCACCCGGTTCTCTGATCCCCAGTCCTCCATTCCTAGCCCTAGAGTTTCAGGGACGGTGTGGAGAAAGCTCTTGTAATTGCAGGGCCCTGGTGCATGGCAGCCACTCCAGCAATCCGTGCCTCTTGCTGCTGTACTGTGCATGCTCCAAATACTGCCTTTTGCATGTGGCTGCAGAGCTCTCAACTACTAAGCTCACTGCTTTCCTTATGCTTCCAGCAACCACAATGCCTGGGACACTTTTAAGATGGGACCTTAATGCTCTTTCCTTTTCTTTCTTCCTCTTGTCTGGTATCCATTTGCAAACAGCGCTCCTGTTGTCTCCAGGTAAGAGGTATCTAGCCCCTCTTTTCCACTTCATGCCAGTGCCATTATTTAGTTTAAGATCAACACCCTTCGATTGATGTAATAGGAACTGCAGGCTCAAGTTTACCTGACAAGTTCTTTTAAAGACTGGATTTTATTTCCCCACTTTTAAGTAATCATGAAAAAGTAGATGATTCCTTGAGCACCATTTCTTTTAATAGATGTGGTAAAGGCATAGATGGTCTTCTCTGGGACAAGGAATAAAAATTAAACTTATTAAAAAGATGGTGGATCACAGACTTCTCCTGAGTCTTAATTCATCCATCATCTCATGCTGTGGGGGGGAAAAGGGGTGAGAGTCAGAGCCAGAATCTCCTAATAGGATTGTGCTGGGATCTGGAATACTTTGATCCCAAGGGATCAAAGAGCTGCTGTGAGAACTTGAAAAGCAATTTTCAAAGAATCTGGAATTTTACTGATCATGGAGATCTTCCATCTTATCACAGCTAAGAACTAAATTGCTAGAATTTTGGTTCATTCATCATTGACCCTTGAAGTCACATGTGCCATGAACAGCAAGAAGAATTAGGATGGTATGGTGGTGGAGGAAGCAGTGTTCTGCCTGGTAATGGAAATTCTAGCAAATTTATTTTAAACAGATCTTCATGCAGAATCTAGATTCTGTGTAAGACACACACTACTTTGGCAGTGTACTTCCAAAAGTGGAATCCAATCATAAACAACATCCAACTTTGTGAGCAGACAGGAAATTGTTCCCAGCACGTCCAGTCACACTATAACAGAGTAGGCTATCCAATACTTTTCAATATGTTTTTTAAAAAAATCACTGCTGTCGAGTAGGATCCGACTCATAGTGACCCCTCCTTGGGTTTCCAAGATGGTATCACTACGGAAGTAGATTGCCCAACCTTCCTTCTGAGGAGTGAATGGTGGGTTTGAACTGCTAGCTTTCTGGTTAGCAGTCAAATGCCTTAGGCACCAAGCCACTAGAGCTCCTATATTTTAAACGAATGTCTTATTTTCCATCAAGTCTTTGAAAATAGAAAAATATTAAGGTCATTTAACAGACCAAGCATCTTATAGAGTTCATCGATATTCAGTCACCTACAGGCTACATCCTTGGTTTAAGGAGGGGAAGTATACATAGTAAGTACATTTTACCTCCTTGAAGCCTTAAATTTTAAAAATGTAGGTACCCCTGCATTCTTTGTTGGAAAAAAAAAATTAGTCCAGCTTCCTTGGCCCCTTGTTTCCCTTTTAAACCAACAGGAAAAGGGCTACCTGAAACTCCCTATATTCCACAGTTTTCCCCAGTGCTTTGATTTTGTAGCATTGAGTCTTCATTCTTCACTTCAGTCATCCTCTTGCCTGAGAAAGTATTTGGGTTTCTTTGTTTCAACTCTTACCTCCATCCTCCACCAACCACACACATATATATACCCACAATAAAGATTCTGATTTAACTTAAGCTTCTTTATACTTTACACTTTCACAAATACCAGTAGAAGCTAAAATGGAAATAGAGGGTGCGTTTTCCTAAATATTTCTGTCTGTGAACCTTTAATTCAGGAGCCCTTGATTAGGCATTAAATCCATTGGGCATCTCAGTCTTGTGGACAGATAAACATGAGGAGCAATGCCTGACGGTGAAAGATTGAGGGTACTTACACTCATCATGAGCAACACCACCAAGCTCAGGGTCTTTGAATGAGGATGCTGGCTGCCTTGTTCAACTGCTCCCTGAGGAGCATTCACAACAACCTGTTCTAGTCTGGCCTGGCAAGCTGTTTGTTCTTCCAATATTTGTTCAATCTCCCATCCTGTTAATTAGCTTATATTCTAATTTCTCTCTCTCTTGCATCCCGCCCCCGCACCCACACACATGCACACTTATTCCTATATCTGAGAGCTGAATATCTAGGTCACCCGAGATCACTTGTCATTTATTTTCTCTTATTCTGAAGAGTCAGATAAACTAGTGGCTGGTGTCACCATAGTCTTTTAGGTTGGACACTTATTGTTCTCTCAAAAAACTAACTTAATTTTAATTTAAAGGAATGATTACTATAAAAATAGAAAAGAGACAGAAATTATTGTCAAACCAAGACACTAAATCAGAGTTTCTTTAAAGGCATGTAAATCAATCAATTAATATATATATATATGAAATACCTCTGTGGGGCTGTGGGAGATCTAAAGTTACAGGAATGGTTATTTGTCAAAGAGATTTTTGCAGAAAGTTAGATGGAAAAGCTATGGACACAGAGGTGGACAGGTCAACAGGCAGATCAATATCCTGCTAGATGGATAGAGTACTAGAGTGATAGCTAGACAAGGGGTTAGACAGGTACATTTATATGTCACTGGGGAGCTCATTGCAGGGGTGAAGGGTTCTTGTGGCACATGTAAAGTGTGACATCGGGAACTGGGGAGGGAGGAATGAATAATGCTGTCATGGTGATGATGCCATTATGAGACGATGCCAAACCTGCAATGAGAGGATAAGAGTTCCTGTGCTTTGAAGGAATCTGAATTGCTTTTCCAAATGCTTTTTCTCAGAATGGCTTATAGTCTGCCTTTTAGGATACCTGGTGTCATAGCAAAACCACATGCACCCAGACTTATCTTCAGAATTAACTAATAAGACACTCCTATTCCATGGATTAAATGAAGCAAGTTGATAGAGAGTGTCTTCTGACTTGGAAGCATACAGAAGGCCATAGATCCTTGAGAAATAATTAATAATTTGTGAAAACAATCACCAGCACTAGAGGGAAGACAGCACCACGGACAGCTCCCAAGGATTTTGGAATTGTATTCTGTTTTGTGCCAGAAATACTGAGTAAAACAACCAGCTTGGGAATCCTCCACACATTCTCTTACTATCTTCATTCAGACCAACTGAGAAAAACCTTATGTTAAATATAAGTCTTTCCAGTGAATTCCTTCCCTTGCTATCTCAAGTGCCTCAGTCTCACTCCTCCTCTCACTCCACCAATTTCCTAGCTAGAGATAAAAGAAGATCTTCTTGGCCTCTGACTCATTTTGTCCTTGAGATTATCCAAGGAATAGAGAAATCCCCTGGGAGATTCACTGTGTGGAATGAAAGCTATTACAGAACTGAATAAAAGAATTAATTGTGTATGAGAACGTGGACTTGGATGGAAAGATGTTTAAATGAGCTCTGAAAGAAACAGACTGCCAAGAGCAATTTTCTAATCAAAAGGGAATAAAAAGATTCAATCTGTATTTCACTCTAATCCAGAAAGTATGTCTTCATGGTAAAGTGGTATTAAAATGGACTCACCAGCTAAAGTAGAAAATTCTGTAACTGTTCAACATGAGAAGGCACCACTAGGTAAATGAATCAAAGTGCTGAGGGACACAGGGAACGTCTCAAAAGAAAGGAAAGAAAGAACTTTATTGTGTTTTGTTTTTGAACAAATATTTGTGTTACAGAGGAAAAGTGCCTGATTCCTATAGAAATTCTGTGGGCCTTTCACTGGAGAGCCATGAAGTTTTTTGGGAATCCTTCCAAGTCTCTCATTGTGAGGATAATATTCACACGTATGAAATGCAGATATTTCTGGAAACATCCCTTCTTTTTCTCCTTCATAGATGGGATGATGCCAACAGTATTGGAAACAGATGTTAACATGAGTCAGTAGATACTCTCTTTGCATTAAATGTGCTGCTCTACTTCCTATCAAGAACTGTTATATTAAGTAGTTGAACAGGCAGTCAGGTTCAATGGTTCAAAATAGTTAAAGGTCAAGAGGTTTTACTATTGTTTCCAACTTCCCCAACATTACACCAAATGACTTGGGGATTTCATTTGGTGCTATTTATAAGAGGACCTTTGGGTCAAATTACCCACCTAAGTATAAAACAGGAACAGGAATGCTTATCCTAGACTTAAAGAAACTCTCTTATAGTTTGATGGTCATAAACATCTCAGCAGTTTATGAGAAGGGGCTCTAAAAAATACACAAAGTTCCCATTCCCAAGTGCTATTTGCTTTGTACCCACTGCCCACACCCAGTACCCTAAGCTGTAGTCTTCTTGGGAATGGAGAGTATGCTAAAGATAGTCTGATTTTGTTTTGTTGCAGAGGGGACAGACAGGAAGCTGACTGTGGAGGAAGAGGAGGCCAAGAGAATAGCAGAGATGGGAAAACCAATATTGGGTGAACATCCCAAACTAGAGGTCATCATTGAAGAGTCGTATGAGTTCAAGGTCAGGTCATCAGTGAGGTCTAATTAAAGAGTAGAGAAATGGGAAGGACACAGAGGAGTTTGGGTTTTGTTCCATTTTTGCCACTGAATATGTGAAGTTGAAACTGAACAAACCATTTACCTACCCTGGGCCTCAGTGTCATTTGTAACATGGAACAAATAGTGCTGACCATTTGTACCTCCTAGGAGTGTTGAAAAGAAAGACAATATGGAATATGGGACAAATGAGCTAGAAAGCCCCTAGCTGTATCATCACTTTTGTTTAAGTATATTTTTAAAGGAAAGATACTAAAATCCACTAGCACAGACAAGATTTATTGACATCATTATTATTATTCTCTGTTGTAATCCAAAGAATCCAATGTCCAAAATTAAAACCAAAGAAAAGGGAAATAGAAATATTGTATCATAAATTATTACCCAAGATCATTCCAAGCATAGCTTTCAGAACCTATGTGGGGGGCCCCTGGAATGTGGGACATCTTTTATTCCCATGAAGTCCAAGACTCCTCGATGGTTCTGAGCATTCTAACTCCTCATGGTTCCAAGTCTTTTTTTTTTTTTTATCCTTGGCAGAGTACAGTGGACAAACTAATCAAGAAGACAAATCTAGCCTTGGTTGTGGGAACCCATTCCTGGAGGGACCAGTTCATGGAGGCCATCACTGTCAGTGCAGGTAAGAATGGGCTCAAGATGGGTTCAGACTCTGCTGGGAGAAGCAGGCAACATCCAAGAAGGAGCAGCATAGTCCACATCAATAGGGAAGTGCTATTTTTGCAAAGCCCTATGTGTTCAGTTTTCCCAGATCTCGTCCTAGATGTTTACCTCTTCCACTGGGTCACCTTGAGAAAGAATCACAGGGTAACTAAAATAGTGTGGTTTTTATAGTTGGTGGCTACCTCTGGTTTCAAATTCTGGTTCTTCTGTATGAACTTGGACAAGTTATTTAACATCTCTGAGCCTCAGTGTCTTTATCCAAAACAGGGCTATTAGTGTCTTTCTCAGAAAGGCATTTTGTCAAACAGAATCTGGTACTTAATTTCTTAGTGCTGCTATGAAAGAACAGAAATTTATTTTCTCAGAGTTCAAGAAGGTAGAAATCCCAATTCAGGGCACCAGCTCTAAGGCTTCCTCTCGGTGGGCTCTGGGGAAAGGTACTTCTCTCAGCCTCTGTAACCCTGCTGTTTTTTAGTTCCTTAGTGGTCTCTGTGTGGCATCTGTCCTTCCCACATTTGTGCTTACTTCTCTCTGTATCTTATCTGCTCTTTTTATGGGACATACTTTACTCTACTATGGCTCCATTAACATAACAGAGAGAACCTTATTCTCCAATGGTATTACATCCACAGAAGTAGGGGTTAGGACTCCAACACATATTTGGGGTGGCGGGGACACACAGTTTACTCCATAACAGGTACCAAACAAGTACTCAGTAATTTCTGGTTTCCATCATTGCTTTCTCTTGTTCATTTATTTTCCCTTTTCTGTAAAATGGGGGATAATCCAGATTTAGAGCCTTAGGGATCAGGAGTTTGTAAATTGCTTGGCACTGACTCTCAGAAACCCCTTGCCTGGATGATTGCACACCTCTCCTTTGGCATGTGATAGGTCCCCTCTGTGGTGTCAACTTGCATGTTCAGGAACCCCGAAGGCACTACATATTTTTAGGAACGGAGATAGAAAGGCTTTCCCCACCACCAGCATTTCCTAACCATACTACTGACCCACCTTGTCCTGCCTCAGCAAAGTACAGAGAGTGCTACTGGCCTTTTCTTTTTCATGAGGTTTTGTTGTCATAGCAACCCACAGGGTCATATCCCTGAGGCCCTGGAACCAGAGCAAAAGTACAGCCAGGAAGAGAGGTTTGCTGCTGCTGCCCCTACTGATGCCCCAGTTTTCACACTGTCTGCTTTGGATCCTTCAGGCTTTCCCCTCTGCTGACCTTACTTTGCCCCTAAAACGCAATAAACAGAATGTAGGCCACATAATCTACCCTCTCCTTGTATAAACGAGGGAATTGAGGTTCAGAAGCGAGACGTTAATTTACCGCGGGGTAAACATTTTCTTCATGGCAAAGCTGGAGTTAGAATCCAAGTGTCCTGACTCTTACTCTTTGGAAACCCAGCTTCCACTGATGGTGCCCAAATATTACAGAGGTTGCCTTTGACAAGGCACCAGCAGGCCTCAGCATGCCCTCTCGCCCTGGACTGCTGACCAGGTAATTCTGCCCAACTTTCCTGCAAGGACTAGCAAAGCCCATTCCCACTCTGCCCCACGGGATATTTGGAGGATGACACTGGCTCTCTGGAGTGCTGCATGATCTAGAATGACAGCTGTCTCTCTGAGGGTTCAGAACCAAGGTGGATACTGCAGCAGACAGGTTGGAGAACCAGAGAGGAGCCCCACTGGTGCCCAGTAAAGAGAGGGCATGCAGAACCGGTCGTGCTTTTCCTCATCTAGGTAACCTGCTCCAGTTTCCTTTCTTTCCCACTGCCTGTCCCTCTAAACTCTTTCACCTTATTTCTTTTAAATTTTATTGTGATTATGTGTATATATGTGTGTGTGTGTGTGTGTGTTTGTATATATGACATAAAATTTGCCATTTTAACCATTGTTAAGTGTACAATTCAGTGACATTAATTACATTCATCATGTCGTGTAACCATCACCACTCCTATTTCCAAAACTTTTCATCGCCCCAAAGAGAAATGCAGTACCCCTTAAGCAACAACTTCCCTCCCCTCTCCCTCTAGCCCTTAGTAACCATTAATACGTTTTTGTCTCTATGCATTTGCCTATCCTCGTGATACAGTGGTTACGTGCTTAGCTGCTAGCTGAAAGGTCAGCAGCTCAAACCCACCAGCTGCTTCATGGGAGGAAGACGTAGCAGTCTGCTTCCATAAGGATTACAGCCTTGAAAACTCTACTGTGTCCTATAGGGTTGCTATAAACTGGAATCAAATCAACAGCATTTTTTTTTTTTTATGAGTTAAGGTGTTTCATGTAAGTGGGATGATACAATATTTGTACTTTTGTGTTTGATTTATTTTACTTATTATAATATTTCCAAGGTTCATCCCCATTGTAGCATGTATCAGAACGTTCTTTCTATTTATGGCTGAATAATATTGTAAGTCCAAAAAGGGCATGGGGAAGCATCTTTAGACCTCCTCTAACTTCACGAAGGGAAAAGAGAATCACTATCAGTACCAACAGCCCAGGGCTGATTCCTATGAGGCAGAAGGCAGACATGCCACCACCCTCCAACCTTTTTACCAGTTCTGGTACTATGATCCCTCCCACTGCACTCTACTTCTCTGCTGGGTTATATAATTCCTTGCAATGGCCACACAGAACTCAACACACAATACTCACAATTACGGGGTTTATTAGGGAAGTAACAGGTTACCATTTAGGTTCAGAGACACTCAGGATATAATTCGTCAGTCAGAATAGCCTCCACTTGGCTATGCTGCCAGGCACACCTCTCTTTGACCCTTGGCCTCTCCACTAGGCCTCTGTCCTGCTCAGGTGAGTGTTACAAAGCTCTTTTAACTCTGCCAGTAGGTGCACCCTACTCCTCCAGCCAGCCCCCTGTCCAACGGCAATCGGCTTTCTCATTCTTTGGGCCGGTAAGCCCGCTGTTCTGTCTCCTGCTGGTATCCTGGTTCTGCTGCCTCTTCTGCCATCATTTCAGCACTGGTATCTCGGGTCCAAGGATCCACTCCACTCCCAGCTCTTCTCTGTTTTCATGGCAGTGAGATCCCCCTTTCCACTTCTAGGATGGCTCATCTTAAGCCTAGCAAGATAGCAAAACTGCCCATTTCTCACTTTAGGGTTCCATACGCCTTATTCCCATGGTTCCACACCACAAGTGTGCCACGTACCTTAATTTACATTATTAACAAGTTTGGGTACCAGTCCCTTTGGTCGGCCACAAGCGCCTCACGTTTACATAGTTATACCCAGGCGCCTGGTGGGAATCACAAAGACCGTGGCTAGAAGAGCCATATAAAATAATTCCCTGCACTGCAGTATGCCTTGACCACATTTTGTTTATCTGCTCATCTGCTGATGGACATTTGGGTGGTTTCCACCTTTTGGCTGTTACAAATAATGCCACAGTGAAATTGGTGTACATGTACATGTTTGAGTCCCTACTTCCAAGGCTTTTGGGTATATATTTAGGAGTTTCTCAGGAGTCTTGCTGAGTCATATGGTAATTCTATGCTGTACTTTTTGAGGAACCACTGAACTGTGTAATGTGGCTGTACCATGTTATATTTCCACCAATGATGGATGAATGTTCCAGTTTTTCCACATCCTCACAACACTTGATATCTTCCATTTTAAAAATAATAACCATAAGGCATCTGACTGCTAACCAGAAGGCTGGTGATTCAAACCTACCATCCACTCCTCAGAAGGAAGATCGGGCAATCTACTTCTGTAGAGATACTGCCTTGGAAACCCAAGGAGGGGTCGCTATGAGTCAAATCGACTTGAAGCAAGTGAGTTTGGTTTTTTTGGAGTGGGTGTGAAGTGGTCTGATGACAAATGACCTTAAGTATCTCTTCATGTGTTTATTGACCATTCGTATATCTTTTTTTAAGAAATGTCTGTTCACGCTGTATGCTCATATTTTAATTGTGTTATCTTTTTGTTGTTGAGTTGTAGGAACTATTTCCCACCCTATCTCTTAATCTTTCTTTTTTCTTCCATTTTCTGTCTTTTATCCCCCACTCTCCCTTGATGCCCTGAATTCAAATTGACTGAGGAGGCCAATCCAGCTCACTTCCCATTCCCAACTATTTTCTGGTTTCCACACCCTGTGCCTCACCAGCTGCCCAGAAGAAAGCTGGAGTTCCCTTCCAGCTGATGATGCCTGTCATGTGGGTTGGACGTGACGATTCTCGGGAATGAGGGTCTGAGCTTGTTGCCCTTTTCTGGGCCTGTTTGTCTTCCTCCAGCAGGGGACGAAGATGAGGATGAATCAGGCGAGGAGAGACTGCCATCTTGCTTTGACTACGTCATGCATTTCCTGACGGTCTTCTGGAAGGTGCTGTTTGCCTGCGTGCCCCCCACGGAGTACTGCCACGGCTGGGCCTGCTTTGTCGTCTCCATCCTCATCATCGGCATGCTCACCGCCATAATTGGGGACCTGGCTTCCCACTTCGGCTGCACCATCGGCCTCAAGGACTCTGTCACAGCTGTAGTCTTTGTGGCGTTTGGCACCTCTGTGCCAGGTGAGAGTGAGGAGTGTCAGGCTTATAAAGAGGATGTTATCTGGTTCATGTGACCTCTGCACTTTGCCATCTCAGATCTGAACTTAACAAAACCTATGCCTTTAAAGTGCACAACAGTCCATCAAAGGGATTCATGATAATATTAATAATGATAGCCAACACTTGCTGATTATTTTTGATGTGCCAAACACTATTTATACTAAGCAATTTACATATGATATCCCATGTAATTCTCACTAAAACCCTATTAAATAGGGACAGCTATTATACCCATTTGATTGTGAGGAAACTGAGACCCACAGAAGTGGCCCATTTCAAAACCTCTACATTATATGAATAGGCCAGAAATAGTGGAATTCAAAAAATATACCTATTGTTCTCCCTCCTTTTCCCACTGGCTATCAGTCTTTGAGACACCGAAGATTAGATTGCTTGAAGATGTCATAAAAGAAGTGCACACCAAAATTCTTGGCCTCCTCTGCCTTGGAAGGGTACCTGTGAGTACGGAGTGTCTCCCAGCAGAATAGAAGCTTAGCGACCTCTTATCCTTCCATATGATGTATTACATATTCTGTTCTTTTCTCTTATAAACACTCAGAGTCAAGCAGGAGTGGGCATTCATTTACTCACTTATTAGACAAATATTGATTAAGCACCTCTTATGCCTGATACAAATTGTGCTAACTGTTGAGGACAAGATGAGAGGCTGACCGACCTGCTTTCCTCTCCACATGGAGTTTATAATCTAATGGAGGAGACTCCACTCAAGCACTATAGTTAAAATGATCTTGATCAGTTTTATGAAGAAAAATCTGAGGTGCTAGGCAGGTGTAGCACAGACAGTCCTGGGCTAGTCTACGGTCAGGAATGACTTCCAAGGGAAGTTACATGTAAGGCCTGAGACAAGCAGGAGTTAACAGGTGAATAAGATCTGCAGAGCCCAGGTCCCTTACTCAGCTTACTCGGGGTCCTCTGCATCCTGAATTCCTGCCAGGAACTGGCTTCCCAACTGCCCTGGGAAGCAAAAAAAGGGCATCCTCATGGGGAGGTTAGGCTGAATCTCGTTAGACAAGACTCATGCAACCTGCACCAAGAGAAATCTATTCTGTTCCAAGAAAACCTTTCCTTCTGGAGAGTAACTGAACCTATATCATCTCCTATTAGGAAAACTTCTTTCTAAAATCTCAGCACAAATCAGGGGGATTATTTGAATAATAGTGATGCAGGAGGCTTGGCTGTCACTGAATGCATTGGGTAGTAGGATGGTAGATGGGTGAACTGGAGAAGGTTTTGCAGAGTTGATGACCTGTGATCTCTGCTCTGCAAGCCTTTTGGAAACTGAACTATTAAAGAGAATGAGTGATTGGGGAAAAGGGGCTGACACGGGGAGAAATAGCAGAGGATCAGAGGCAAAGAAGCAAGTCATAGGCAAGGAGGGGAAGAGTTTTCCTTGGGAAAGCTGAGAAATTGGCAACAATGAGGCCAGCCAGGACATGCTAGGCAGGGAAGTAACTTAGGGACACTTCCAGGTCCTTGCACTTGGTCCAGAGATTAGCTGACAGCACTAGGGGCTTTAGGAAGGTCTCTTATGGACCACTCAGCTGGTTTAAAGGCTCTGAATAAAGTTCTTTGGATATAGGGTAATGGTATGGAAAGAGCTTTTACATGAGATTGTAGAGCCAAGTCTCTTGTTTACTTTCTATGTGACCTTGGGTATATGTCTTGGCCCTTATAATCTTTACCTATAAAATAAAAAGATAGGCTAGATGTTCCCAATGGTCTTTCAGTACCTACAATTTGTGCCAACATCTAAAGTCAAACATCCTGCAAGGCTGTGTGATCCATATGAGAATAGCAAAGGCAGAGCCTGCCTTCCTTGAGTACATAGCCCACCTTGTGAAAGATCCTGGGCCCCAGCATACCCGCTGTCCCCATAAATCCAGAACCTAGTACAGTATTGATCAGTCACAATCTGTGATACACAAGTGAATGCCCTGTATGGCAGTTACCATCCGGTATCTTCCCAGGGTGTCAAGGCTCCCACTGGAGATATTTCGGGCTAGTAAACTCCCTTACTGAGAAAATAGTCAAAGAGGAATGTTAAGCCTACTAGAGTAACTTATCAGAACCAGACACGCCCTTAGGAATCTTCTAGTCTCCTGCAGATGAGAAACCAGAAGCCCAAACACTCAAGTGCTAGCCCCCAAGCCTTGGCCTCTCATTCCTGGTCTCTATCAGGACTTTGAAGTAGTTTGAGCCAACAAAGAGAAACCAGGAGAGACTGGAATTTGCAAGATGTGGGTGCCTGGATCAATAACTGGAATGGGAAAAATTATAGATCAAAGCCCTGGAATGAAAGACTTCGAAGACGCGTAGTGAGCCCTTTCAGGAGGCTAATGCAAGAGATTGGAATATTGCCAGGACTGTGGAGAGCAACACACATTCAAAGTGGCATGGTTGGCCACCATCTTTGAGTGGGACATTGCTGTTTCCAACTGCCAGGCAAGAGATTTGGTTGCTATGCAACATGCATGGTGCTCTTGCTTTCTAAGAGGGAGATTAAGTTTCCAGCAGGACATCTAGTTGTGATTTTCCATTCAGGTTTTGGTTCCAGGCACTCACATTTTGCAAATTCCACTCTGTTCCAGTGTCACTTCCTCAACCATGACTGAACTGGGGAGAACCCTTTGAAGCCCTAGTCTACCCATTGGCCCAAGCTGCTTCTTGAACATACTCAAGGATAGGTCCTTCCTGGGCCTACCTCACCTCTCCCCATCTCTCAGCCTCACGCCAGCTCCCGTTTGTCTCTGCCCTTTTCCAGATACGTTTGCCAGCAAAGCAGCTGCCATCCAGGATGTGTATGCAGATGCCTCCATTGGCAACGTCACAGGCAGCAATGCTGTCAACGTGTTCCTGGGCATTGGTCTGGCCTGGTCCGTGGCCGCCATCTACTGGGCCCTGCAGGGACAGGAGTTCCACGTGTCGGCTGGCACACTGGCCTTCTCTGTAACCCTCTTCACCATCTTTGCATTTGTCTGCATCAGTGTGCTCTTGTACCGGAGGCGACCTCACCTGGGTGGGGAGCTTGGTGGCCCTCGTGGCTGCAAGCTGGCCACGACTTGGCTCTTTGTGAGCCTGTGGCTCCTCTATATACTCTTTGCCACGCTGGAGGCCTATTGCTACATCAAGGGGTTCTGAGCCACAGAACAAAGGCTCGAAGAGGGCAGGCCTAGGACTTCTCCTAAGAGAAGGGCACCTCCCCACCAGTGACCTCTCCAGGGTGAGCAGCCTGAAGAGGCAGCATCAGGACCCACGCCCCGGAGCTTCACTCGACCTAGGCCCTGGCAGTGAACTGAAAGGGCAAAGTCTTAATCAAGCAAACAGAATGGAGGAAACACCCACTTTACAAAGTATTTAATGAAGTACAAACCAACAACAGCAACAAATCCACCTCCACCCTATCTTTCCACCCATGTCCCCAGCTCATAGCAAAGGTCAGATTGCCCATCCAACTCATTACATCACTCCTCTCTCACTCAGCTGATGAGGTGTAGAAATGAGGCATGGCCATGTGGCTGGTTTGGGGTTCTCTTTGTTTTGTAATCATTATTATGTATGTTTTCATTTTACATCAGGTTTTGCTTATTGTTGGTTGTTTTTTTATTTTTTTATTTTTATTTTTTTTAGCTTTGTTTTGTTTTGTCTTGTCTTTTCTTTCTGAAGTTAATGACAAAGGCGGCATGGAAGAAGTCAAGGTCTGAGCCAATGGATAAAGGCAGGATGTTTCAGACACATACCCTTTCACTCTCTTGGGTAACAGCTGTCTCTTGACTCCATTAAGGTCCTGTTCCCATGTCTTCTTTTCTATGGCTCTTTTGAAGGACTGATGGCATTGAGGTGGAAGAAAGCTTACACAGCATGGGGGGCATGAAAGAACAGTTGGAGCAGGACATGTCTACGATGAAATCCAGTCAACAAGCAGAGTGTTACATGCTGTGTCCAAGCCTTGCAAATTCTGTGTGCCTCGTTGTGTTCTCGTTATGTCTATATGTTTATCCTTCAGGAAGAGCCACCAAGTGGAGATGTGGGGCAGAACTAGGAACGGGATGTGATGACCAAAGGCAGCTGGGGAAACAACAGGGATCTATGCTTTCTTGAATATCTTTGGCTTTGTGTCTGAGGCAAGAGAGAAGAGATGTACAACTAGTGCGCTATTTAAGGGGAAAGATTATATTTAAAATGTCAATGCTTCTGAGAAATGTCAGCTTCACCACCCCCTCACTTCCTAATGCTCCCTACTGAGAGGGCTGGCTACATTTCTTGAAGTAATGCAAAAACTTAGAAACTTACAGGAAAACAAGGGGCTCTTTCACCTCTCTTAGACCCTCAGGTCACATTGTAAAGCATTTTCACAGGATAAGAACTGGAATTCTTCATTTCTCCCACATTCTTGCTGTTTTTTAAACCTCATAAAGCTTGTTCTCCAGCCTGTGGGGGTATTTCTTGAGCCAGTGAGAGGAATCTTAGTTGCCATAATAACATGGAGCCTGGGTTTATAGGGAAAGTATTGCCATGCCCTACAGACCTTTTGTTAACAAATTTTGAGAGGACCTGGCTTTACACACACACACACACACACACACATAGGAATAAACACAGATACAGAATCACCACAGAACTGCCCACAGATCTTCAGGCTTTTTGCATTGACATGAATACATTTTTTAAGGGGGAAAAATAAAGAAATAAATAAAGCACCTGTTTAATTTTAAACACATTTTTTTAAGAAAAAAAATAACTAAAAAAGAAACAGTGCTCATGTCATAAATTATGTTGACAGTTGCCAGTGGAAATGTTGGGTTGGTTTTAAAAAAAAAATAAAAGCTATACTTATATCTCTCTAAATATAAAGCTTGCTTCTCCCCATGTTTCTTGAGCGAAAGGTCCAGAAGGCTACCTTGGGTTTCTCTTCCTGAGCAGGTGTGACTGAGGTCAAGGTGCTGTCTCCCATTACACTCAGATGCCAATGTGCCCAACCTGGTGTTTTGTTTCCTTTTTTAGCAAAAAAACTTCATCACTCCCAGGGAAATATCACCTGTCGAAAGCTGAAGAAACTGGAAGACATAGGTAGTGGTGTTGTGATAATTAAAGAGGAAGGAATGTTTTATCTTAGAAAAGCACAATGAAGAAGGATTCAAGCTAGAAAAATATCCCCCTATATTTATTACAATACGGAGCTCTGGTGGTGTAGTGCCTAAGGCACTTGACTGCTAACCAGAAGGTTCAAATCCACCAGCCACTCCTCGGAAGAAAGGTTGGACAATCTACTTCCGTAGTGATACCACCTCGGATACCCAAGGAGGCGTCACTATGAGTTGGATCCAGCTCCATGGCAGTGAGTTATATTTATTGCAATAGAACAAACTACCAAACCAGTTGCCATCAAGTCAACTCCAAGTGATGGAAACCCCATCTGCTGCAGAGTAGAACCACATTCTGCAGGATTTTCAAAGCTATGACCTTTTAGAAGCAGATTGTTGGGCTTTTCTTCCAGGGTGCCTCTGGATAGGTTTGAACTACCAGCCTTTATAGTTAGTTGTCGAGTGCTTAACCCTTTGCGCCACCCAGGTACTCCACCATTCATCAAACATATATATATTTTAAGCACCTTAAATTCACTGAACAACATTCTGGTGATATAAATAAGAGTAAACACAGAAACTGACCTCAAGAAACTCAGTTGTCTAGATGGAGAGATAAACATTGTTTTAATTAATGCTCTTTGTGTAATAAGAAACAGAAACTTATTAAGCTAGTTCAAAGAAATTGAGGCAGCAATACTGTGATGACCTGGTGGGGGATATTGTGGAACTCAAATAAGAAAGTACAGTCAGGCCATGGGAGATTGCAGGCCCTTAGAAGAAAAGGCCATTCTCTCCATTTTCCCAATATCACATAGGCTCTTCCATCCTTGCTGCTTTCTGGTGCTAGGCCTCTCCTCTTCCTCTGCTTTGCTTATCTTGCACCCCACCCCACCTTCCCAATATCACATAGGCTCTTCCATCCTTGCTGCTTTCTGGTGCTAGGCCTCTCCTCTTCCTCTGCTTTGCTTATCTTCCACCCCACCCCACCCCCCCAAAAAAGAAAAAGAAATAATTTGGAGAAACAGTGACCATTAAGTCACACAGATTCCTCTGTGACAAAGATATCTGTTAACCAAAAACTATTCAGAGTTTATCTTGCAAATAATTTAACTTTCGGTAATTTCCCTTTCTTCCTGAGTGATAATTGTAAAACTTGCATTTACTGAGTAGTTGGGGTGCCTTTATTATTTGAAAACCTCTGGACTAGACAAGAGGGTTTGTGAATGAATGGCAGGGGGTAGTCAAGCCACAGAGATCACCTAGTAACTTGAGCTGATCTCAGAAAGGAGGTTAAGATTAGCCAGTGGTTAATTTCTAATCATTTTCTTTTTCCTTCCTTAAAAACTCATAGCAACTGGCCCAAAATGAGTCTTTATTTTCT